TCTCTAGTCATCACAGATGGCTGACTGGGTGACCTCTGCTGCATGTTTTGTGGTGAAGGAAGTCCATCGGTGCTCTCTGTCATTTCCTGCCCAACATTAAACCCCTCAACGCTCCAACTGCACTCATCGCATTATATTATTTTTCTCAAGCTCAGGTTCTTCACATTTCATTAATCATGCTTAACGCAGGAGGTCTCCAAGGTTAAGACAGGCGCTGTGTGTTAAAATCACATGCCTCCATCATTTCCCCCCTCACAGAATCCTAATTCAGATGTTCCTATTCTTCAGGGAGGGTTCATGTTGGGATCCAAATTAGAAATACTGTGAACTGAGGGGGAATTTGAGAGATTACTACGAATGCATAACAGCAAGTATTCCTGAGAAGAGACAATTATAGCGCCTGTCCTTAAGCAAACCTGGAGGTGATATTAGGAAATGCCCTCCTTGCCCCCACCAAGTCCCCCAAGGACAAAGCTAAAGGGTGAGGAGATGACAGAAAAAAAAAAAGATCCAAGCAGAATAGTTTGCAAAAGAATAAGCCCCCAAAATCTTTCCTTTAACATCTATATATTCTTCAGTCTAAACAGACACAATACAAGAAAGCTACTTTGTCTTAGCTGATGAAAATCAACCCAGTTTACCACTGCCTCCACTTTATTCGATTAACATATTTCTCATCCCTGTCTGTGAGATATTGTAGCGCCCAGCATCCCTCTCTTGGATGCAATATTGCTCCAGAATGCAAATTAGGTGAAATGATTTAAATAAAATGAAGTAACTGGCTAATAATAGTGTTTTGTTTAAATTCATCCCCTTTGTTCTGTTCAATTTTGTACTCCACTTTAGTTGTTGCTTTCCATTACTGTTTGCTGATGCTTAAACATACCAATTATCCCACTGGCTCAAAATAATATTTATGATAATGTCTGAAACCCAGTTGTGTGGGGAGAAAGAAGCAGTAACTTCAAACTTTTGTGTATGGAAGGTAATGTGGGTGTTATTACATAGAGAGAAAGGTTTGCTGAACAAATTACTTTAATTTCTACGGTTTTACTTTAATAGGCATTGTGGACTTTTTGTTTGCTCAGCTGCTCTAAATGAAGAAATGTTCTCTCAATGACTGGTTGAGTTAGAAAATGTAGAGAATCACACTTGTAGAGCACATGTGGGCCAACTTGAAGGCCAGACTGCTAAAGAAGGAACACAGGTCAAGTAAAAAATGTCAATAGCTCTGACAGCTGCAATTCACGGTTTTAGCCCTAACTAGGATATTTATAGATTGCATAATCTATTCATTGTACTAAGTGTTTGTTGAGTACATTAGCACTCATAATAATACACATTTTCATCCTCTATCTAATATTTATTTGTCTTTTTCACTGAGTTTTCTAACTATCACTGTTTAATATCTTTTCAATACCACATGTTGTTTTTATTGGGCTTTAAGGTAGACTAGATGTCACTATGCACATGCATTGTACAATGAAGCGCTAACATTGGTGGAACAGTATACCTTTAAGGATGGCAATGTCGGTCTTTCAGCCAGTAGGTTGGTCCACCACTTTAGTCCTGATTGAAATATCTCAACAACTATTGTATACGTTTTCCTGGACTTTTGTACGGACAGTCATAGTGTACAGAGCATGAGTCCTCAACACTGTGGTTGGAAAAAAATAAAAAATATATATATATATTCAACAGCTATTGGATGGATTGCCATGAAATTTGGTTCAGATATCAATGACGCACAAAAAGTGATTCCTAATAACTGTGGAGTAGCGCCACCAGCAAGTCAAAGTTTAATTTATCCTGTGAATATCTGCACATTTACGGGATGGGCTGGCAAACAATTTTATTACTTTTTTTCTATTTTCCGGTGAAAAGTTTATTTTGGAATTTTAGACATTCATTTTCCCCTTAAAGGTAAAAAAATGAATAACATGCATAACTATGTTTTCATTAGTGTATAATCACCTGAACATAGGAATAGTTTGTGTTACCTTAAAATGACGCCTTGCATGGAGTCTGCCCTGTTGAACCGCCATATTTCTACAGTAGCCCTAAAGAAACAAACCTAACATTGGCTGTAGATAGGGGCCTTCGCGGCTTTTGCACGTTTTGGGCCACCATAGTTTCTCATTCGCACTTCGAAGGGGAGGGTGAAGCTAGGGAGTTGTGGTTTGCAACTATACTGCTAGATGCCAGCATTTAAGGACATTTAAGATGGTTATTTTGGTTATCCTCTGACCTTTTATCTAGCGCTATTAACAGGTAAAAAGTTTTTAAATAACTGCAAAATTAATGCCATTCCCATCAGAGTGTAGTGTAGTTTGCGTTTAGTGCTAATTAGCGAATGTTAGCATGACACACTAAACTAAACATTACACCTGCTATAGACTTTGCATGATTTTACCAGTGGTTGTCTTGCATTGAACTATAATTGCACAGACAATGAGTGTAGTCAATCTTGAGCCTGTGTTGCTGTATTCCCATAAAAATTGTAGTATTAATTACTAATGCCTCTGCCCGGGGTGTATTTTTTTAGAGAGTAAGTGTCCGTTTGTCAAAGTGTTTTTTTGAGGAAGAGATTTCTGACAAGAGCTTTAGCAATCAGTCTCCTTGATTTACAAGTTCTCAACTGCACAAAAAAGATGTTCTCCTGACTAAGATAAAGACAAAGGCTTTACTAAATTAAAACAAAAGACAGAAGTGAAAAACAGCCTAGTGTGCTCAAGGGACCTTTAATTTGAATTTCCTCTTTCCCATTTTGGGGTATGGTGGTGGTGGTCACAGTGGGTGGTTGTTGAAACCGATCTTCACCTGGCATGTGTCACTGCTGTGTCTTTTACAGCACAGTTGAAGCCCCCTCCCCTCTTTATAAGATCTGACCTCACATGTCCAGTATGGCTTCCCCAAAGGAGCTGGACATGATGAATAAGTAAAGGGTTACATGTTTAGTCAGAAGGATAAGATCATTTATCTTGACTAATGTGATACTTATGACTCAGTAACTGCACTCTAGAACATATTTAGAAACCTGCTTGTTCAGGCTGCCAGAGCAAACCCCACTGAACAGACTTATTTACTCTTTGAAAATTATTTTTTGTTGCTTGTCACGGAAACTGGCATATTGGCACTGCAGGTAGTGACAATAGCAGAAACACTGCAGGTTTGGATACCTAAAATGCCCCTAAATGTCTGAATGCACATGACCGCAGATGGAACTCTGCTGTGTACATAAAATTCACACAATAAATGCCAAATCAACTTAAACTTGTTTTCACAAGCTGACCTGCTATCAGATCAGTCCAGCTCTACCAGGCTACTGAATCCATTAAGATTCTATAGTGGAGCTCAGATTGGACTGCAGCACAGGTGCAAGGATTGGGGCAGAGTTTATATAGGGGGAGGGAGTGAAGGGAAGTCAGACTTGGAGAAGCTGCAGAGGGGTTCTTTGGGTGAGCCCAGATGACAGCTGAGGGACTGAGGCTTTCTCTGGCTTGCCCTCGTGTAGATGGGGTCAGTGAAAGCTAGCAGGGGGGTGGGGGATTGTAGGGTGGAGGAATTGATGCAGTTCCTTGGTCACTAGGCCCTGTCATGGTGTGTGGGGGCAGGGACGCACCGCTGGCACTGGGAGACAGATTTAGACAAGAATTAAGGAGACAGAATTTGCACTCTTAGCCTTGTCTGGGTTACTGGCATTGGCAGCTGAAAGCGCCAATAGATCTCCATCTCTCTGTGCTTTTACGTCACATCCTCCCCAGCAGTGACAGCGACTGCTCACCCCGCTAACACAAAGCCCTAAATTAAACACAGGTGCTGCTCTACCCAACACACATTGTCAGTGACTAGAAATAAACAAGGCCTCATTATGAGATCTGAAAGACACCACTTCCACCACCTGTCCACCTAAAGCCTGGTCCTTTGACAGTTTCTCAAATAGAAATTTAAACAAGTTGATGAGTTGCTTTTTCAAATCCACAAACGTACTTACATACTACTATTTATTCTTTAGAGGTGTATATTCTAAATGTGCTGTTTGTTTCAGCACTTCACTGAAGCCAGATACAAGATGCTCATACTGAGCAAAAAAACGAATATGCCGTGCTTTTATGACTGCACTACATCAAATGCCGATATTCTAGATATGTTGTGCATCATTTTATACACATTTTCCATGAAACTCTGCGACACAGCCATCGGTAAAGATGGAGCCATTGATAAGTCCAGCAGAGTTGCAATCAGAGATGACTTATAATTACATCAGTAATATTATAATGAATAAAAACATGTCTAACCATGATAAGGCAATATATATATATATACTAAAATCATATATTGACGTTTTGACAACCTGTTTGAAACAACTTAATGTTCGCTGGCAAATGTGAGCCATGACTCCCATGGGATCTACACTGTGCTCATGGGAATATGACGCTTTTTTTATTTCTTGGAAACCCTCTGCTTATTTTCCAGTATCTTAGTTACTTCTACTTGACAGAGGATGGTGTTTACCAGAAGATGTTACGCAATTTCACAGAGAATCTGCTCTTGACTTTATGGCGTAAAGCTTCCTCTTTCAGTTCTCAATTGAAGCTTTAATAAGTCGTTTTCCTTGAGAGCCTAGTTGCCAAATATAGTGTTATTTGTCATGACAGATTATATAGGATCAAGCACAAAACCATCCCCAAATAGCCGAAAATGCTTCCCAGAAGAGTTGTGCGTAATGGTGAACAACGCTGTGCGTAAAAGTGAAACTGTTCACTTGAGAACAGGAAATCGCATGTCCTCAGGTACCCTCTCACTGAGTTTCCAATGTTTTCATTTTTCATTATAGATATATGGCATAAATAAACACTCTCTGGCCCGCAACTCTATATTCCATGTTTAGTGAGGACCCCTTAACACACACACCCCCCTCCCATCCGCTATCCAATCCTCACACGGGGACAGCGTTGACGGGGGTCAAGAGGAAAAATAGCCTCATATATATACGCCCAAACGGTGATTTCTTGCTCCGAGTCCCCTCCACTCTGTGCTACACTCCTTGTGTTGTCACCCGAACCGGGAATTGTCTGTGCTTCAGGAACAAAGTAGTTCTACTATCAGCTGAAATGGCACCTAAGAAGGACGCTAAGGCTCCCGCCAAGAAGGCCGAACCTGCACCAGCACCTGCACCTGCACCCGAGCCAGCCCCTGCTCCTGCAGCGGCTCCCGCTGTCGACCTGTCCGCCGTCAAGGTACAATGACCGTGAAAGCATTAGTTCTGCTGTGGTGAGAGATGGAGATAGGATGATGGCTGCCCAGGAGGAGCTGGGATTTGACTTTTTTTCCATTCACACTCTGAGTTGCATGACAGAACTAGACCTACGTTAATGGCTCCCAAAGGGCTCCTTAAGGGAGCCCCAGAGGAAACAAGGAATCTTTTTTCATTTGTATTTCACACATTAGAATGAGGAACAAAAAGACTTTGATCAATGATAGGTGTCAGTATATTTACAGTGCAAATGCAGCTTAATTCTAACATCATAGACACTGGTGTTTACTAAACTGGGGTCTTTGGTTTAATGCACATCCATTTTCACCTTGACATAACTGGCCAAGTAAAGAAAAATATTAGGGCATTTATATAAACATCTATGAGTGCACACGTAATAGTGAGTAAACGAGAACAGCAGCAGGTTTAAAGGACCATGGAGTTGTACAGACTGAAGAGAAGGACTAGAACCATGGATAGCTCACTATGGTTTAGACCACGCCCCCTGAATCTCTTGATTGGACTATCAGAGTGGTGACTAATGTGTGATGGCAATGCAGGGTGACACCAAATGTGGACATGTTAATGTAGCTAAAGATGGACCTCCACAGATCAGGTGCCATCATGTGAAGCTAATTTTGGCAAAGAGACATGTTTAATCCCTGCGTAGGACTGATTAATTAGTCTAGATTATGTGGGAACAGCGGGTTATTATATTCTGGCCTCTTGAATAAAAGTGGTTATGTTGTTGACTAAATGGCATGTGAAGACTCTTGTATGTTTTATACTCATATGGCTGCTTTGTATTGGCTTCTAGATCGAGTTCAGCCCAGACCAGATTGAAGGTAAGTACATTTTACCTTTGCAACCATGTGACACACCACACAGCCCATCAAACTCAATTTATCTTAAAGATCTCATTGCCTGCCATCTGGCAAATGAGAAAAGGCAACAATATAATAAATCACAATGCAAAAGACTAACACATTTGAGAGTAAAACAGTGTAGAGTACTCTGCAACAGACTTGGTACTGGGTCTTATAGCGTGCATGACAGACGGCCACCGCTGTCATTTTTGTGTTTTGACATTCAGTGAGACTAGCAGATGTCTTGTGAAATCTGATAGATACTATGATGCTAAAAAAACCTATTCAAGTGTCCAGTAAACTTTTAGTAAACTTTAAAGTTACACAAAACAGAAAAAGCAAGTGTTTTCAGTGGCAAGGTTGGAACAAATAAAAACTTGAACATTACATCACAAAGAAAGCATCCACAACATGGTAGTCTTCTAAACAAAATCATAGTTTCTTGGCTAAATGTAAATAATAAAAAAAACCTTAAATAAATGAAATGTCAGCTGTTGTCAATGCAACATTTTGCAAGAGATGCATCAAAAAGTAGTGCAGTGTAATGCAAGATAAACATCATGCAGGATTTCATTGCAAACACAAGCTGATTGTACTAGTAATCGCCTTCAACCAAAGCATTCAGATTATATCACTTATTAACCAAAGATGGGGACCATTAATATAGTGTTTCATTTAATTACTGATATGAACGGCAGATTGTTTATTGGCCACTTGTTGGTAACATAGGACTCTAAATGTGTTTCTAGATCAGTGATATCAAACCATTTGCAAGAGGGTACATATTTTCATAGCAGTCAAAAAATGTCAGCAGCTCATTTCAGGGATTACAGGAGGATATTTTAGAATATTTGGATGTTTGCTAGAAAGATAAACATGTGCACTGTTGGTCTTTTCTGACCCTAGAATGGACACCACCGGACCAGACCTGTCATCTGGCCGGCTGCTTGTTACACTGCAGTCAGCATTCCCTACTTTTGCTCAGCTCACCCACAGAGGGCCTTGCCTTTAAAAGGAGGGGGCTCATATTCTCAGCTATGTTTATCAATTCCAAGGTGGTCTTTTAAAAGAGCCCGTAGCCCTGCTGAGAGAGAGAGGGAGAGAGAGAGAGAGAGAAATAGCGAGGGGGAGACAGCTGAGATAGAAATAGTATAAGGGATGACGGAGCTTGACAGGAGTCAGTCCATTCAGCCCAAAATACCGCAACCTATAGAAACGTCTTGCCCTTGTTATATGTTTGCCTTGTCAGTTTTTAAAGGAGCTGCCTCCACCTGCTGGCAGGCATGAGACAGCCACAGCTACATTGAAATTCAGAACACTGTCTTCAATTGTGGGAAAAGTTGCATTTTACACTTACTATAAAAAATCCAGATATATATATTTAGTATAATACATACAGCAGTTTTTTGGGGGGTTTTTTTGTTGTTGTTGTTGTTGTTCCAGAATACATTTTAAGCTGGAGCTGCTTAGATTAAAAGATAAAAAGATAAAAGATAAAATTATTAAACCTCAATGTAAGGAAACTTTGCAGGAAAATAAATAATTGAAGAATCAAGAATAACATACAAATAAGTATAAGCCAAATGTATGAAATTAAATGTAAAAATTCACTTCTAAATAGATCTTATATTTGGAACTGCAGGTGAAACGCTGCTCTAAGCTAACTCTGTTACAGTATATTAATATAACAAAACGTACAATTAATTTAATGAAACACCATAATTTTCTAACACCACACAAATAAAAAAAATAAAATTACAAAACCCTGCACATTGATTAAGTTAATTTATAATAACTTCAACTACATCAATTTCTAAAGGAATTACTACAGTGGATATAATATGATAGCAGTTGAATCATTTTAAGCCCCATATCAATATTTTATATACATATATTAATATATTATCTTAGGAACATGAGAATGTTGTTAAGGTGACAATATCCTATTTTCCTCCACTCTTCAGACTACAGGGAGGCCTTTGGTCTGTTCGACAGGGTGGGCGACAACAAGGTGGCTTACAACCAGATCGCTGACATCATGCGCGCTCTGGGACAGAACCCCACCAACAAGGAGGTGACCAAACTGCTTGGAAACCCCTCCAATGACGGTAAGAGATACTGCAGGTCGTGTTAATGATACTGATAAAATTAATTATTTTTGTATGCATATATGATGTAACTGATCAGTAATTCATAGGGCAGATTTGAATAATGTGCCTAATGAGCGTTGGTGGTGAACAATAGTGCTTGGTTCAGTTTACATTAGTCACTGGTGTTTATGGTGTTTATTTATACAATTTATAAAAGGGGGCACACAGTTTAAAGTGTTCATGGATTTGGAGGAAGAAATGATAAATAGCTGCTTTTGTGGCTGTTATCAGTCATGTTCATTCGAATCAGCTGTTTTTCTTTCCTTTTTAATCAGTCTGCTCTTTAAAAATAATGTTATAGAGAGAATATGTGGAGCAGATCTGTTGCAAAAATGTCTTAGGAATGGAGTAAATATATATTTTGCATAAAGGCTGAAAATCCTACCTGTGCTGCTAGCCATTTAGCTAGCAGGTGAAATTGTCACTTTGCTGCATGCACGGCCGCAACCCATGAAGTACAACACCATCTGTGTCACAGTTGGGGGTGATCACATGTGCAAAGGTCTGCACCTTTCCACATCCTACTAGGATGGTCAGTGAGGTCAGACATGCAACAAATTTTAATCTCTTAACCCCTCAGAAGTCAGTGCAACAGCGCTTTTATTCCATTTAAGAACTTGACTAGTCTATAATATATATTTTGTTTTGGTTTTTAATCACATACTTCATAAAAAAGCAGAATTGTACTTTTTTTTACTTCTGATCTGGTCTGTGCAGTCAGGTGATGATGCAGTCATAAATCTATAACCTTTATACCAAAATGGCTGCATGATTCTCAGTCATTACTAATAGACCCAAACTGTCCCTCACTCTGCACAGTCAGGATTGTATCAAATCTGCAAGCTACCACATAGAATTACACATGAAAAATAAAGAAATTGGCACTTTTTCTGCTTCATCATTAACCTCCCAACCCTGTAGAGCAGCTTGTAGTAGAACGATGGGGATGTATTATTGATGCTGAAAATGTGTCTACAAGGACTTCCATGCCTGTTTTCTCAAACCTGCCCAGCTTGTTTACCTCTGGATGGAACTGACTGTCTACTGTCTCCTTTCATGCAGACATGACCAGCAAGAGAGTAGAATTCGAGGGTTTCCTGCCCATGCTCCAGTCCATCATCAACAACCCAAACAAGGCAGGATTTGAGGACTACGTTGAGGGTCTGCGCGTCTTTGACAAGGAGGGCAACGGCACAGTGATGGGTGCTGAGCTGCGTATTGTTCTGTCAACACTGGGTGAGTCAGGCTAGGACTCTGGTGTATCTGTGTGTGTATGTGTATGTGTGCTACTATGTGTGTGTATTTATACTGGTTGTCTCCCCCTACAGGAGAGAAGATGACTGAGGCAGAGATTGATGCTCTCATGGCAGGACAGGAGGATGAGAACGGCTGTGTCAACTATGAGGGTGAGCCACAAATTACAGCATTATGACTAATATATGTCTTCTCTTTAATATACGACACTGTTTGTGTATTATTTAACATATTAAACAATCATTCTTAGAGAATTTTAACCACCATTTTTACCTTTAAAGTTTACTTGGAGAATACCACTCAGTGAAAAGTTGTACATCTTATTTGGCTTTGAAAGGAGCTTTACAAAATTTTAATTTTTTGTCATCATAAGTAAAAACGCTGTTGAATTTTATTATGGGAGGTTTTAGCATAACCCATACTAAGGACTAAAAGTCAGGATATTTTAACATTTGCTTTTTCAATTTTCACTATTTAAAAGAAATTTCTCTAATGAGTCCTCCATCTTACTGAATTGTTGAAGTGGCCGTTTAAATACTAACGTAGAAAGTGAGGTGTGGATGTGATGAATGTACAGTATTTTACATAGTTCATAAACTAGACCAAACACATTTTGCATTTTGAACTTTTTGTGTATTCTTCTCCTCACTTGTTCATTTCCCTCTCTTCTGTCCTCTCTGTGTGCTGCCCTGGTCTTCATCTGCAGCCTTTGTCAAGCACATCATGTCTGTGTAAGGACCCTGCTACTGCACTGGTGAGCATCGTATATGTGGAGACCCCATGGTGTCGCGACATCCACTCACTGTTTCCTGTACCACCTGAGGAAGCAGGGGGAACAAAGGACTATGAGATGTCATTTCCTGAACCCTTCTTTTATTTTGTTCTACAATTTTTTTTTGTCCAACTGGTGCTTTTTTTCTCTCTTCCTCCTCCTCCTGCTCTTCAGGAAGCCATCCTGATTTCCCACAAGATGTTTCTTTCCTCATCTTCACCCCGGTCCCCCTGTCTCATTGGGTTTTTTTTTTTTAATCATCAGTGGTTTTTCACAGTGGAACAGTGATGGAGGGGAATGTGGGATACTGATGACCATCCCCTCCTGTCACTTACTGTCTGGCTATCTATTTCTATCTGCCAGTGAAGTGACTGGTTCTGACCAGGACTGGCAATCAAAATGAATCCACTCCTCGCCCAACCGATTCCTAGGTCTTAACTTATTGTATCCTCTGCCATTTCACAATAAACTTTTCACATACTCCCATTTTATTTCCAAATTTTTGACTCTATTTAATTAGATGCAAATCATTTGCATAGCCTATATAATTCAACCAGATGCTATTAAAGGAATAATTTGACATTTTGGGAAATATGCTTATTTGCCTATAACAAACAATACTCTTTTTTTGTAGGTTAAACAGATGAGATAAACTGTGTGAATTAGTGAGCTTTAGAGGTGCTGTTAGATGGATTTTGTTACTTTTGGACACAGCCAGGCTAGCTAAGCTAATTGTCTCCTGGCTGTAGCTTCATATTTACTATACAGACATCCGAGCGGTATCAATCTTCTCATAAACTCTTAACAAGAATGTGTATTTTCCAAAAATGCCAAACTACTGACTATTAACTGTAAGTCTAATCTGAATAGAAGACACTACTCCAGTATCACTTTTTGTCCTTTTTATTGTCATTACTTATTGTAATTGGTGTCATATCAACAAGAGAAAAACTGCGTACATCTACTTGACCTTTTAAATACATTTACAGTTGCTGTAGGGTGGAGCAGGAGGTGGGAAGGGGGCACACGGAGATGGGGTATGCAGAAAAAACACAGAAGCAAACAGTTGCAGGTGAGGGCAGTAATTAGGCAGGAGGCAGGATATACCACAAATGGTGTCCAAAAAAGAAACTAGATCACCCAAACACTTTTTTCCTAACAGATGTAACAGGTTCCGAGGTCCCTCGGTCATTTTATTTTTCTTCATGAATTGTCTTTTTAATGTATTTTTCAAAATATTTTATTCCACTTTCTTCTCCCACATATTGCAACAAAACATCCAGATACGGTAGCATACGTCGTATAACGGCATGGGATCTGCACCAAACGCACACACAGACAGATTTCAGAGTAGCTGCATCTTCTGCTAAATCTCAGGTCGCATTTGTAGCGTCGTCCTCTGTGGTCCAAACAGATAGTCCTGATGAGCTGATGATCAGCCTGTGTCAGTGGAGGAAATGTCTGTACTGTTCATTCATGTGAGCTGAATATCTGCAGCTGTAAAGACAAGATACTTATAACTCTTTCCTTTTTGGATGGAGGTTTGTGGAATGAGCTTCAGTGTTTAATACTGTTTTGATGTATGAACAGGCGTCTATATTGAACTACTGAGCAGGTACAAGTGTATGATGCTCTTCAACAGGACTGAGATGCATTCCTTAGCAACACCAATTCAGCTGTCTGACATTGTCACCAAGCATTACACTGTAAACAACTAATAACTACAAAACATGAACTTGTTTTATCTTTATCCAATAATTGAGGAAATAACTTACTAAAATCCTTTCTTTAGATTACAAAATAGCCTCTTTTAATATTAGAATCAATACATGCTTGTCATAACATGACCTAGTTCTTGCAGTAATGCAATTTTACAAGTATATTTTATAGCCATATTGTCACTTCCTTTCAAAATGTTTTAGGACATGTAGATGGCAAAGAACTTGTATTTTTATACATGTTTCTATATATATTTGTTAAATATATTATATATTGGATGACAAGAATGACTTGCAGTAAGGATGCTTGGTTTGTTAGGGAGTTTGGCGTCCATGCACGTTTACTGAGCAAGAACAACACGTGCTGCGTGGTGTGCTGGCCACATTACGTCTTATTTAATGTAGAAAAAAGGCTGTAGCTTCTTCAAAACACTGATCCAGGACCAGTCAAGCCAATACCTGGTCCCCACTTTGTATTCACCTCTTAATCTAGGACCAGTGCTCAGACTGAACTATTCTATGCAACTTCATTCAAAAAGAGGGAGGCCAACTAAATGAATCAGAAACAGCACATATTTGGATTTAAAATAGACAGGAAATAAAGAGGACCATACAGTAGCTCCTAATTCGAGTCTCTACTTATAAGTTGAGTGATGGATCTTTAAGTGGAGATGTTTAGAGGCTGTGGTTTAGCTGAGGTTGGCCTCAGGGTGGCAGAAGTGGGCAGAAAAGTCTGAAAGGGATCAGGGTGAGGATGTCTGGGGTGCAGAGCAGGTATCCAGAGATCCAGTGTTCACAAACCCTGCTTGGCCAGAGCTGCAGTGACATCCTCAGCCAGGGTTGCTAACTGCGGCGAATCCATCATGTTGAGACTGCCGGAGGATGATAGGTGGCTGTCCCGATGGCGCTGGGGAGACACTGAGCCGGACAGGCCCGGAGATTGGACGATGATCTCAGCTCCATGGTCCACTCGTGCTTTGGCGTGGTCGCGAAACGACAGCCTGTGGCTCTCAATCTAACAGTGGCGAATGGAGCGATGATGTGAGAGGTGGATGGGGAAGGAGAAATAGATCATTTTCATATCAAGTAGAAGAAAGAAATATTATAATATATAAGAAATATGTATATGTATCTTTGTGAGTCAGCTTTAGAAGAACCACAAATAGAACACCACCAAAGTTAAACTGTAGAGAGCCCTACCCAGAGGCTGTTGCTCTTAGTCCCGTGTTGACTTCAGAACTAAATACTTGATGAACACAATTTAGGGTGCTTGGATTAACCTGTACATTAATTATTGATAGTGGCGTATACTATACCTTTACCCTCACAGGCAGATAAAGGAATCCAACAAGTTTTTGGAAGATTGCCTTGTTAAACATGTTTTTATAGTACATGTATGCTTTACCAACTTTTATTAAACCTACCAGTTTACAGAGACAATACTATATATTAGACTATGTATCTAATCTATCTTTTAAGAGTACAGTAATGTTTATAGATACATTTACAGGAAAATGTACAAATCAAAGACACTGAAAGTCTGTGCAACATAACTTGTATAGGAAATTACACTCAAAAAAGAAGAAAACTTCTTATGAGAGTTTTTATCTAAATTGATTAGTAAGGCAATCTCTCAAAAACTTGTTTTCCTTTAAATCATGGATTGGGAGCATGTAGCTGACACTCACCATGACGTGGCCTCCACCAGGAGTGTGGTGAGCATTATCCAGGGAACCCACCTTGGCTTGGGCTTTGTCTTTGAAGTCCAACTTCACAGTCTCTATACGCACATTACCGCCTCCTGAAAAAAAAAGTAATGGAAGTGTGAAAACAGGGCAGAGAGAGAGACATGAAATCCACTACATGGTCAAAAGTCAGTGGACACTTGACCATCACACCTATATGATATATAATATATAACACCACAGGCATTAATATGGAGTTGGATCACTTTTCTGGGAAAGGCTTCCACAAGATTGTGTGTCTGTGGGAGTTTGTGCCCATTCAGCCAAAAGAGCATTTGTGAGGTCAAGCACTGATGTTGGACAAGAAGGCCTGGCTCACAAATGCTGTTCTAATTTCTCCCAAAGGTGTTCAATGGGAGTTGGGGGCAGTGTTCTGTGCAGGGCAACCTAACACACACTCACACACTCACACACCAAACTCGTCTGACCATGTCTTTATTGACCTTGCTTTGTGGGTGGTACGTGGACTCAATAATGACTGGGGGTGTCCACAGACTTTTGGTTAGAAAGTTTGCTCATACAAAAAATTTTCATAAAGGTGAATGCGTAATGCTTTACTGAAAGAACTTGGATGCTCACCAATTCCTGAGTGAATAAAGGATATAAAATGGAAACACAGACAGAAAGGGACCAGGAGATGGAGCTGCAGGACCTGAAGTAGTCACCACAACACCATCTGGGAGTGGAGAGGGGGGTTCCATACCTCACAGCAAAACAGCAAGTACTCCTGAAACCTGACTTGATCTTAGTAAGGTCACAATCCTACCACTACCCCAACACAGTGGAGGTGAGTAGAATGTAATTTGTGATGATCAAGGCATCAGAAGCTAAAACACAACAGCGACTTCCCCAAATCAGTTTCGGTATTACTGAAAGTAGTCATCAAAACTAGTCTGCAGTCCTGGCCAGTTTCACCACACCATCAGTTGTTCCTACACAGAGCAAACATGCTCTCTCTGACTGGGATTACTATCGTCGAACAGCACTGCTAATGTTTGCACATTGCAATTCAGTGTGATTTGTACTACAAAGTTCTTGCACTTCAGAAAGTCTTATAGATAGGTGCATTAGATCGTGTGAAAACACTGCCCCGAGACTTTCCTGACCACATTACCATCTAAAGTACAGGTCATTGACAGTGTGCTTGATGTTTTGGTTCTTTTAGTCAGTGATTTGAATGAAAAATTATAAATTGGATAACCTTCTCCAGATGTGATCCAATAAAGTTCATTAACAATTCATCGACATCCTGCTCCACACTCGCTGACACAACGAGGCCGCCAGGAATCACAACACCTACCACATTCGGCCGCCTGTGGACAGATCTATAGCGCTGTCAGTCCAAATGTAGTTTACTGCTTGCCTCCACAGTGCCAGAGCTTTATCTGTCTGGAGTGGTATTTCAGTTAAATATAAAGTGCAAATTACATTCATTACTTAATTACATAGCACTTTATTGCCCGTTTACAAACAGTAACAATGAATTAAATTTCACTGACAGGTAAACACACCTAACCTGTGGGACTATCATGCCCCATTTACACCTGGTATTACATGTAATCTGTATCTGGAAACATTATCTAGATAATGACATCTGTTCTATGGTAATTTGCATTGACAAATTTATAATTTTTTAAAAATAGATTTTTTTTTCTGATCACAATGTGTTCTGCATGCGTTTTCCTTCCATCCGATAACATTTGGAAAGTCTAAAAGAGTCACACAATAAATTATTTTTTTCCCCCCAATTATGTTATATGGGAGAGGGTAAAAATAAGTTAATCCAGCTTGGCCGGTAAAATGTCTCTGGCATGCTCTATGTGGCCCATAGAGCATAGCATGGGGTCCTTGAGTGGAATGTACAGTATTACTACTAGATGGATGTCAAGTGTGAATGGTTACCAAGCTGCGATTTCCCTTCCCTTCCCTTCCCTTCCCTACGCCTTCCACACTTCTTGCCCTTCTCTGGCTGCTGGTTGTGCTATTTTGCTCCCCACCAAAGATTCACTGCTTCTCACGAAAAAAGAATGGCAGTTGGCAGTGCAAACACGCTTTCTGTTTTTTTTGTTTTATTTTTCATACTCACAAACATTCCAACCTGGGAGCTGCCAAGTACAACCAGAATCTGAGTAGCAGCTTATGAAAGACAGGTACCTTGGTCAAGTGCATCTGGCCAGGGCTATAGATTGCTGGACACCCCCCATATGCATTCATACTGCAGTGTTAGGGTTTGCACCGGTGACCTGCTGCTAACATGCTTCTCTGACCTTTATTCCAGCACTGGCACTCCCAGTGTTAACGCTCAGTTTCACCTGAAAAAATACAGGCTAATTGTTACCTGGCCGATGATGGATGTTGTCTAGAGAGCCACATTTGGAGGTCACATGGCTCAAGTCTATCTTCTTGTTCTGTATCATCACCTAGAAGAAGCAAAGTCAGGAAAAGACAAGGTCAAAGCTCACGGTTTACAATGAGGGTAAAAACCCACGCTGACCTCAAATGATCCTCACACAGAAGATCCAAATAGTATCTTCCCTCTGATGAATTATAGACAAGGACCTAGTGTATCTGATCTGTATTAAACTGTAGCTGCTGTTTGAAGAAAATGATTGGGTATCAACTGACAAGTAAAGGCTTTCCACGTTCAAACACAGTGATATCTAATTGCATGTAATTATTAGAAAACACAGGCAAGAAAGCACAAGAGCAGAATGCCAGTGACTACTAAATAACAGTTTTTTGTGTTCTGCTGTTAGGAGAGCTGTTGGTGTCGGTTAAAGCAACCAAACCATTGATGTGATTCAGTACAAGCTTTGTGCTGTAACTGTGTCTTGAGCTAAAAATGTTTTGGCACATTCAGAAAACCTGTCAAACATGCACCATAACAGGGAGGATTCAGTGTAAGACAGAAAAGTAGGAATGTGCAGTTGAAAGTGGCCACAGGCGTACAGGAGATAAGGATATGTTGTTATGTGACACACCCTGGGGATCTGAAGAGAAAACCACAGAGATATATATAAGGAGGGAACCGATGAGACAGCAAACAGAGCGGAGCTATAAAGCTTTAGACACAGCACAATGAACAAGAAGAGATACGCCACACCCTGAGATGAATCACTGGGACACGCCTGAGGTCAGCAATCACTTTGCCAAGTCACAGATTTAGCTGATATGTCTTTTGTAACCAATGATTTTGTGTTTATTTTTGTCTTTTGCTTTCTTACATGGCCTGAGAGGAAAGAAAACGTCAGGAAAAGTGAGATGGGGATGAACAACGCAGGTCGTGAGCCACGTTACAAACCACAACACCATGAGCACAAAGTACAGTATGCACCTTAGCAGCGGTGGAATGTTACAAAGCACATTTACTCAAGTATTGTACGCAAGTACAGATTCGATGTACTTGTACTTTACATGAGTATTTTCATTTTATGCAACTTTACACTTCTCCACTACATCTTAGAGGTAAATGTACTTTTTATTCAACTACATCTGTCTGACAACTTTAGTTACTAGTTACTTATATTACTATACTATTAAGTACCAATTACACCAAATCTGGTGATTTTAAAAGTGAATTTTTCCTGAAAAACTGAAGGATTAATGGGTTGAAAAAAATCTTCTACTTCTCAATATAAATAAACTGTTTAAATCATCTGACTAGCTGGAAAACACATTGTCACAAAGCTGAAAAGTGGGCTGTTGTTCTGACTTATTTGAGATATGTGGTTCTCACCGGACAGTGATGCTACAAACATATGATGATCTTATAGAGTATGATGCATTTCTTTAGGGATATAAAGTAGTTCAAATTAGCCCAGCCTTAAACATCTACAGCAGTCAAATGCAGCATACACATTACTACAGGAGTCTAAAAGGAATCTAAAAACATCATATATAATAGAAAAACACTGACAGGGACATTGTACTGCAAAATGAGTACCTTTACTGTAATTTGAATTACATTTTGCTGACAATACAGAGATTTAACTTGTAGTGGAGTATTTTCACAGTGTGGCACTGATTGTTTTGAGATTTTAATACTTTTTCCACCACTGCATCTTAGCCTGTCCATCGACCAGAATTACTACTGCATAACACTAACAAAGATACAGGACATAAGTATAAAGACAGAGATCAGATGTGGTTTGTGTCAGCGTGGGTGAAAACCAGGCTGCAGGTTGGCTCGTCTCTCCAGCGATCAGATCTTTATGAGATCTATTAACTGCACTGTTGGAATCTTTTTCATTCCTATTATGATGATTAGTTTTTTTCCCTTTGCATTTATAAAACAAAATCCAGTATTCGTTTTGGTACTACATGTTAGGAAGTTAAAGGTCCACTCAGGTGTAGCAAGTGCATATTTAACTACAAATACAGGTGTACAGACAATGTAATGTTCCAATCACTGAGCAATCCTTAGTTTCAGTGATTATCCATATGTATGTACAGTACATATAGTTAATAGAAAAAGGGATGGTTACCTCATTTTTGTTTTGTTTTTTTCCAGTAAAACTACAGTAATTAGACAGTAACTTGGGTAAGCAAGTTTGGTAGTTGCTAAAAGTTTCTTCCTTTTTATTTATTATTTACATTTGGCTCCATCCGCTGGCCAAAGCATACCATCAATGTCAGATGTCTTTTTAAAGTTGAATTAGTGATTCTGTACATATTGAAAGACCAATGATTATGATGTTATATGATTTAGAATGACAATGATCTACACAGTTAACCAGTGAATGTTGTCACTGCTGCAAAACTGGGAACAAAACAATTGCTTGTGAAGTGTTTAACTCTTGTTTCTGGTCACACTACTATGAATTATAACCAACATTGTTAAATAAACAGCCATGAATTTGCTGTACCACATGACGTTGTTCATCGCAGACACAGGTAATCCTTTAGTGCTGTTACCAGTGGATTACCAGTGACACACCCCTTAATGTGCCTCTCCTCTACTGTGGTGCACAGTGAGTCACCATACTACGCAGGAAAGGGCAGAAAAAAGATATTAAGGTTAAAAGAAGATGCCAAAACTACAGCTACAGTCCTGAATGTTATAAAGTGCTGGAGGGGGAGACATTCAGCCTTTAGTATCAAAATTCCTCGCAGGACACAAACCACTGCTGGGGAATGCAGTGTCGATCCAGAGCAGTCAGGTAAAGAGCCCCAGCACTGCTGCCTTAATGAGTGATTGACTTAACAATAAACTGGGAAGCTCTAAAGCGAGGTGAAAAAAACAAAACATAAAAAGGAGACACTGAATAACATGACACATCAGGGAAATAACACCGACATGAACACTGAGACAATGGACTTTGCAGCACAAGACTCACGTTTCCACCTCCTGCCGAGTAGCCCCGCCTGTCCAAGGACCCACACCTAGACTGAACATGGCTATAGTCCAGCTTAACACTGGGGATGAGAACCTGCAGGGGCGGAGGTGAGGAATGAGGTGGGAGAAGGCTTGGGCTTTTCTGGCATTTCATTTTAAACATCTCTTAAAGAGCTTGTATCCTCCCGCTGTTGAAATATTCTGTCCTAGACATCTGAGTTTGTTTGAGTGTGATGCAGTAATATTTGACCTGGTGGTTCCCATGTTGCTCTGGACAAACAATCCTTCAATGACTCTAACAGGCAAAAACAGATTCATCTCACTACATGTCTCCCAGCATGTGTTTTGGCCATTTGTATCAGCCTGGCTTATGAATCAAAACCTGGCCTCTTTACTCTAGGCCCACTTTGAGAAATCAACATCCTTTAAAATCCTTTAAAATAACGGATTCCCTGCCAAAAATATTTTTAGGTGAAGCCAAAAGTAGTTAGTGTGCCATTCAGCCACAGGAGGATTTGTAGGTATAATGCCTTGGGGGCAGAATATCATGAAGTTATTGCGATTAATTTGTTTTTACATGGACTTTGAGTCCATAAAGGGATGCAAAACTGTCAAGGAAATCTTGACATCACCAGAAGAGACAACACCTCTAGAACGTACTAGAATAAGTTGCCAGAATTTCATTTATGGTTTTGTACTTCTTGCATTTGGACTTCAAAATTAAAGATGCAAAATAAAAGCAGTAAACATGTGAGACCATTAGTTTAGTGTGTGAGGATGATAAAATATGAGTGTGCTGCGATGGTGAATGGCTCTCTGTAGCTGCAAGAAGAGAAAGCAGTGAGATGCAGACACAGTAACAAGAAATACATTTCACCCAGCGGCACAGTAAAAGCAATGGGAACTACACTGGATAGGAAAAAGACATACATACATATTCAACACATTTTCTGGAGAAAGGACTAAAAAGCTCCAAAGGAGAGGAGAGACTACGAGGAGCTGAGGAGCAGTACTTTTAAATGCTTTGAAATACTGCAAAACTGTATATAATACTGTATATAAGAATATACAAATTGATTACTTCATGCTTAAAGGTTTTCTTGACAACACAAGTATACAATGAGAGTACCGCTTCTATATGTACGTATATATGACACACAGAAGTATACTAGACGGACATATGACAAACAAGAGGAAATTTCAGTTTAAAACAAGGGGGGTTGTTGAGTTTGTTGGTGGTTTACTAAGGATGTATTAATTTCCAAGTTAAGCACAGTCTCTCAGTCATTGAGTGAGCCACATAGTGACAAAATTTCTAATAAGTGAGCCCTCCTGGGGTTTGGTAAGAGGACAAAGACATGAAACAGTCCTCACAACCAGTGAACCAAACTGCTGTCATTAGAAATCACCCTCAGTTTGAGCTGATAATAGTATAGACTTCTGAATGTTAGTAAAACATTAGAAATTACAAATGAAACTGTGCATAACTATTTGTTAAGCTGCTTCATTTTCCAGAGAAACGCTGCACATTTCTTTTATAATATTTAATTAGGGCTGCTGTTTTATCATCTGTTCCTAATTAAAATAATATCAATGCTTTAGGCCTTTCTCTCTTTTGACTACAACCTGTCCAAACATATAAGCATCACACATTTAACATTACAAAATGTTAACAAAAACAACATTTGTAGCCAGTGTAGCATTGAATAAAATGGGAACAAGAGAGATCAAACCAAACTTCACTATGTCTCTAAATTTCATCTTTAATCTGGGCGACATCCAGAATCCAAATTATCACCAGTGAAAACGACAGGAAATCAGAGCCATTGCCAGGGAAGGGAAAAGACAGTGGTAGAGCCAATACTAGTCTCTAGGAACATCTACAATGGCTTCAACAAGAAAGTGAGAACTACCGAACACAAAACTAAACTAACCACAGATACATTATGACAGCAATTTCTGTAGGTAATATTTACTTCTTATTTAGCCCCCTTCTGATGGGAAGTCAAGTCATAAGTGTTGGGAGGACTTAAAGTGTCTTTGTCTCTTGGTTTTGGTCATCTGGCTCTCTCTAACCATGAAGCC